AGAGTCCTGCCCAAATCTCCTCCTTTTCTCCAGTGAATTATACATGAAAGAACTAGTTTTTTCCTCCTCCTTGTTTTTGCACAACTGAGCATTGCTGGTGATGAGGGATATCGCAAACTTTGACGCTTTTTCTTGCAGGTTTCATGTTGTGGCATATTGCCAGCAGGTATGGTGGTTTGAATTAAGCGGCACGGTGAACTTTCCTTTTCCTCCTGATATATACACACTAACATTCAGAGTTCACCTTGGAAAAATTTTCAAAAGACTCGGCCGGCGTGCTTGCAACTTTGAGCATACTCATGGATGGGATTTGGGGCCAGTACGGTTTGAACTGTCTACTTCTGATGGGCAACATGCAGTTAGTGAGTGCTTTCTAGATGACATTGGGCAAAACGATGCAAATGGCAATATCAAGCGTGGGAGCTGGATTGAGTACAAAGTGGGTGAATTTATTGTCAGTTCATCAGATCCTGTGACTGAAGTTAGATTCTCAATGAAACAGATTGACTGCACACATTCCAAAGGTGGGCTTTGTGTAGATTCTGTATCAATTACCCCCAGTGATTTGAAAGTCCATACAGGCAAAGGGGTTTGAAGTATCTGTAAGTGACGTATTCTTGTCAATGCTCCCAGAACGAAAATTGTTGGGTTTGCCGCCTTAAAACGTCTCTTTTGTGGAGAATGTCATTGTAAATTTTTTGCCTTAGGCTTGTCGTCTTTCTCCATGTAAATGTTACTGTTATGTACTTGATCCAGTTTTGTTGCATAGAATAGAATACGTTTTGCAGAAGATCAAGAAAGTATACTTTGTTCATTTTTCATTAGAGAAAAGTTCTAGCTATTTTGTCAATTTTATGTACAGAAAAATATGGTACATTTCTTCCACTTTTATAGAGCATTTCAGCACTGTTATGTGATTTTTGGTTATTATGACATCTTGATCATTAACAACCTTTTCTATGTGCTGGATTCACTTGCATTTAATGGTAAGTCAATATGCTCTGAACTGCAGGAAAGCTGTCTCTGATTGTTACATAAGATGGCCATAGTTTTCTTCTCTTCTTATCATTCAGGCTGCTTGACTAATCCTTGTTCCAATTTAGACCTGATTCTAGCTTATCATACCCCCCCCCCCACCCCACCCACCCCCCCCAATCTACTTTTTGGCTTGGCGCCTTCAAATGGGTACTAGCATGGCCGTTAGATTTTGTCTTTTATTAAGCAATCCAACAACTTCAGCATACAAGTCTATCAAAACAGTTGTTCATGCTGATAGTAAAGCAAATATAAGCTGTCACCTACTTCATAATATAGACCTGTGGTCCTGAACCCAAATCAGGAGTTCGAGTCATCGAAGAAGCAAAATCAGAAGAGTCATTGTAAACCCATAGATGTGGTCTAATAGTCAATGAGATGTGTTGAGAATATTATTATAGGAATTCAGACTTATTTTGATGCCAGATTTTGCTCTATTGGCGAGAGCACCCAAATCAGGAGTTCGAGTCATCAAAGAAGCAAAATTGGAAGAGTCGTTGTAAATCCATAGATGTGGTCTAATAGTCAATGAGATGTGTTGAGAATCATGAGATCTCAGCTTTATATTCAGCATAGGCAAAAAAAACTTGGCGATTCCTTTTTATTTGTCCAAGCCTTCTTGCTTGTGGTACACTAAGGTTGAGTATATTTAAAAGGCACAAGACTTTTGTTCGTCTTGTCTTCAATTTAGGCGAACACAAGCTTATTCTAGAATCAAATTGTGAATGGATTCCTTGAGTCATTGTATTTCCGCGAAGCTTTTCCTCAATCTTATACTATTTGCACGATCTCAACCCAATCCCAAAAGAAGAAAAGAAAAAGGACATCTAATCAAAATCAATTTTGAGAATCTCATCCCAATCCCAAAAGAAGAAAAGAAAAAGGACATCTAATCCAAATCAAAATCAATTTTGAGAAACCCGTCAACGTTTTCGAAAATAAACAATTGTCTTACCTTGGTTTTTTTCTGAAAGAAGTGTAATGATTACCTACTCCCACCGGCTGAGATGGAGAAGCAATGGAAGCAACTGAAGTTGTCGTTTATGAAAGGGATTGTGATAATGTGATTGAAAGGTCACTTGACTTGGCCAGAAATTCATTTTTATGTTTTAAAAATTATTTAACCTCATCAAAATTTAGGGTATAATTTGAACTAGTAAATCATACAATCAAATTGCATTTGAATTCAACCATCAAATACTCAAATTAAACTACTGATTGTTCTGTATTTTTCTTAATCAATTTACTTATTGTGAAAGTAACTCTTTTTTACGAAAACAAACGTGAAAGGAGTCAGCTAAACGTCTCAACCTCACCTTAACTCAAGGCTCGACCGTAAAACAAACCAAGGGTTTGGTTAGCCTCAATAATTTAGCAGCTCCGGTGACTAGCTAAGTGGCCAGGTCTTGCTACAATTATCTGTTTGACAATGAATATAAGAGCTGCAATATATAAAAATTGCAAGAGCTTTCGCACACATTTGAAGACAGATTTCTAAAAACGATAGCCGTAACATAGAATGCACCCACAACTGGTCAGCAATCCGAGGGGAATCAATAGCTGCATTTTCAACTAAATGCAAATTGTCTTACGAGAAACTTCTGTCTGCAGATGTAACTATTGTAAATGATGGTCGTTTACAGTGGTCTTCAAACAAGACAATCTATTGCTAATAAGGAAACAAAATGAACAGCAGCTTAACGTTTTCCTCCGCCGCCACCAAGCTTAGGACCTTTTGATGCACCTCCTTTGGGGAGGTTGCCCTTTCCTCCAGCTTTCTGGGACTTGGCCGTCACCTCTGCTTTCTTAGCCTTCTTTTCATCCTTTGTCTTCTTAATCCTTTCCTTAATTTCACTGCACAAAAGCCATAGACAAAGTTCAGTTTATTCCCATCAGCTCCAAAAAACATGCATCAGCTTGAACTTCAATGATTAACACCATAATCCATTTTCTCCTTGCACCAGAATGATACACCGGGTATCATGTATACGCTATTACCCAAGACTCTAGGTGTTTTTTACACATTAATATCACGAGAAGAAATGGGTAACTTTCATGTTGGGCCCATATGGAGCAGAAGGTGCTTGAATGGTATCAGCACATCTGTAACGATGACACCATTAATTTCCCAGACTAGTAACTGTATTAACCACAAGATGAAAATGTTAATACCTGACTAAGTCTGGATATCAGATTAGCAGATAAAGACTGCCAAAAGACACACGAACCAAATGCAAGGCAATGGTATGCACACTGATAAACAAAATCAGGAATGTGTCGACTTTTACTTCAACGATTAACACCATAATCCATTTTCTCTTTGCACCGGGATATACACCACGCATTGTGATGGGAAAGCAGAATCTACATAATGCTTTAGGCTTTAGGTGATTTTAACACATAAGGTTTTCTTTATCAAGAGAAGAAATGGGTTACTTCATGTTTAGGTGATTTTAACACAAGTTTTCTTTATCAAGAGAAGAAATGGGTTACTTCATGTTGGGCCCATATGGAACAGAAGGTGCTTTAGTGGTATCAGCACATCTGTAACGATAGACACCATTAATTTCCCAGACTAGTAACTATATTAACCACATGATGAAAATGTTAATACCTGACTAAGTCTGGTACAAGATATCAGATAAGACTGCCCAAAGCGAGACAAACTAGATGCACGTCGGCATGCACATACATAAACAAAATCAGGAATTAGTAGAAACGAACCGAAGAGCAGCCTCCCTGGCAGCATCTCGAACTTCTGGCCTTTCAGTTCTTTTCTTCTGGATAACCTCCAAGGTTGCACCCACAATGGACCTAGAGTAAGGCTTCTTGGTGGCACGTCGCCTCTTCTTAACAGCTTCTTGTGCAATATCCTAATGTAAGCAAACACAGGTAGCAAAATTACGTTAGCATAATATCCAAAAATGGAAAAGGCCTAGGAAAATTCAGTAGCTAATGCATGTTTTTCAAGCAAAACAAGAGGCAACTTATGAAAGGGAATATTCCCTAGTAATAGTATAGATTATGAGACAACAAAATTACCATTATTAAAAGTTAGAGGCAACTTAAAAGTAAAACATCAAAAAAAAAAGGAGCTTGAGTAAGTTATAACTTCTGGTCTGAACTCTGAAGGTTTACTGAAAACTCACCTTCTTGTGTTGCTTCCTATACATAGCTGTCCAAGTAAGTTTTGATGGCTTCAGCCTGTTGTGGAAGTATCTTTTGCATTTTGAATTGAGGAATAGGAACACCTAAAAGAGTCAAAATATCATAAAGTGATAACGGAAACTAGCATGGATTTTCCTCCTGTTCCTAAGAATACAAACAAATTAACCATAACCGACTAGAAATATGGCAGGTTATCTATTGAAAGAATACCTGAGAATCTGAACGAATAAATCTGATGCCCCTCCCAGGGTAAATCTTGCCACCACTGAAACGACAGAGTTCTGTCCTGCAATTAATGTAAGAAAACAATTACGATTCATCACTTCGAATTTATGTTGTACGATTACCAGGGGAATAGCCAAACTAAAGGAAATGAGCAAGCTCCAACAAATTCATATGCAATAAAACTGGCGGTTACTAATCTCTCAGGAGCAATACCCATTCTGAAATTACAACACGATTTCATATAGGATTTAGTAGAACATAGAATGAAATTACCCTACTATCTACTATTTTATGTAAGCCTAGTAGAAACATCACAGATGACCAGGAATATAACTGCAGAGTGCCGTCCGCCGGCAATGCTGTACACATCTAATGCAGGTTCATAAGCAGCATAAAACTCAAGTAGTACAATTTAGAGTACCTCACAAATAATTAAAAAGAACTATTGAATATCATGTTCAATGGATAATGAGATGCAATATAATGAAAACTAGAAGACCAAATCACCAGTCTCTATGCATGAGTAAGCATTCAAAAAAGAAAATAAATTGCAGGTAAAAATAATCCTTCAAGAGCGTTCAACCTTGTCATATCTAGCTGTGAATTAGGGTGTTTGATATGATAACTTGGGGAAATATCAAATTTTGGAAAATGTTCTCCACTGGAGATTATTCCCCTAAAGTTGAACGCTGCAAATATCTCAACTTTTATCCATATTACATAAACCAGTTGTCATATAACATTGTTACAAACCTCTTTTTTTTGTTTGATAACCATGGTGTCCGGGCCCGCATGCTCGACTAATTCTAAGACATAACTGCTACCTCACACGCACCAGGTAACTCTATTCACACAGATGGGAAGAAACACCTAGTGGTTTTTGTCTCAGAATTGAACGTTAAACCTCATAGTTCTCCTCCCACTTTATTGACCAATAGGCCACACCCTTGGTCGTGACATTGTTGCAAACCTTTAATACTCATAGATTATAATGAACCCACTATTATGCTATTCCTATTTCTATGCCCAAGCAACATTTTCTCCGTAAGCTCTCTCCATGAAAATATTTTCCCCTAAAAGTCAAAATTACTAATATCTCAAACTCTTACCCATATCAATCGCTCCAATCTGACATTTACATATTGTTACAAACCTTTCATACTCAAAAGTATCATCAATCACTACGCCGTTATACCTTATTCTGCTCCTTGAATGACTAGATATATCTCCTATTTGTATATCTGAGCAACATTTTCCCACAATTAGAGATTCTCATCTACATTACTATGCATATAAATATAGATTTTGAACCGTTTCCAAAAACGTCGATTCTTCTCCATCAGCTAAATCTAGGTAAATGTAAAGGAGCATAAGATATCCTTTGCAAAAAAAATTACCAAGTTTTAAACACCGACAACCAGTACAGTAAGAAATCATGGCATGTATTAAAGGAATTCAAAAATACATATAGAATATACGAACAATAGTGTGAAAGAGACGGCAGAAAATTTACTTGAGAACCATGGCTGATGCTGTTGCGTGCCCTCCCTCTCGATGAAGAGAAACCCTAAGGATCTACCTACCGTTATATAAGGAAAATAGAGCTTAAAAGCCCAAAAGATGGAAATTCCAGTTCAAATCATCTGCCCAACTATTGGTGGGCTTCGTGGGATTGCTTATTAGATGAAAAGTCTTTACGTATTGGGCCTCTCTATAAATCTTGAGGCCCAATAAAATATATGAGGAGATTCTACGGTGGAAATGACACCAGGTAGCCACTCTAAATGGCTGTTATTTAGGAATGGGATTTTTTCCTTCCTATACCATATATGAAATTTTATTACCAAATATGTGCATAGTATCTAAATTACCCACCTAGTCCACATTTTTCCTACAATTTCTGTACCATTCGTTTATTAGGTATTAAAAGGGCAGAATATTCCCTTAAAAACGCGCTAAAAATCAGGAAAGAATCTTGGGATTGATTGATCCTACATTAAATTCAATTTTTGAAACAGAAAGGAGATTTCTCATCTGCGTATTTTTCTCTTAAACTACAATTCAAAAATTTTTAAAAAAAGTACGAACAGCTTCAAAAAGTACGAACATATTCAACTACGACAGCTTCAACAAACTGAATTCAAATTGTAGAATTCAAATCTTCGAGATTCAACAACTCAAAAGTGCTATATTCTGTTCTTCGTCGTTTTCAGAAATCAAATTGGCGATCATATATCTGTTCTTCATCTTTTTTTCTCAATCTAGAAATCCAAAAAACGAACAAATTTAGAATGATATGGGGGGGTTCGTGTGTATATGGAGACCAAAAAGGAGAATAAAAATTTAGGTTCATATTCGTTATGTATAAGTGTACGAGATTTCAATATGGAATTGGCAATCACCAACGATAACACAAGTGCAGGTTTGTATAGTTCGAAATTGCATAGAATTATGATTTTACGGTATTATCTACAAAATTACTACATCTGCCTACAATTAAACTACAAATCAGTTTAATGAAAGAATAAAGCAATGTTGTTTTCAAAATTATCTACAAAGTTACTACATTTATACGACAAAATAAACTACAATCTATGATTAGAAATTGCTGATTTCAAAATGTCTGACATCCTAAAATGGATGACTACAAAATTTTCACTATATCTACAAATTATCTACAATTGAAATGGGAATTGGGATATTAAAATTCAATGTATCCAGTTTGTAGATATTTTGTAGATAAATCGTAGATTATCTGTATTCTGATTGTAGATACATTGTTTTATGTTTTTACAAATCCAAAACGACTAAAACTTCTACAAAATCTTCTGCAAAAAACAGTCTACAATTTATCTACAATTGTTCTACAATTTATCTACAAATTTCTGCAATATGTCTTCTTCTTCTTCTTCTTCTTCGAGTTTCAATCTGAATTTCAGTCAAAACCAAGTATGTCCAAAATATTTATGAAAAACAGGAAAATTAAACAAAACTCATTTTTCCTAACTCTTTTATTTTCATTGATATTAATTGCAGGTCAAGATGATTCTGCTATAATTATGCAAAGAAAATTGGGAAAGAAGGCAAAAAGTTATGCTTATAGAATTCGTGAGCATGGTATGCGTCTATTTACATCTAGTTCATTCTTTTCCTTTTTCCTTCTTTAAGAAAACAATAAAAATATTTTCCTATTTTGATGTTTTGCAGTGAAATTGGGGCCAAAGTTTTCAGAAACGGTGAAGAGGAAGTTGAAAATAGTGAAAGAAGGAGGGAGAAGGAATATATTCAGGAATATGTTTAATGTAAACGAAGGAGAGAAGCTGCTAAAAGACACAGAACCAAAAAAAAGGGCCCATTTTTGGTACCTTGAATTAAGGAGGGATATATGCTGCATTAATTGTACTCTTAAAATACACTATGGTATAGAATTGGTAATTTGGTACACTAAATGTAATTATATCAAACTTTAAACATTGAGGGTAATAAGGTTTCCTATATGGTATAGGAATGTAAAAATTCCTTTAGGAATTAGCTAATGTATCATGAATTTAAATATTTTTGTTCAAATTTTAAGATATAAATGTCTTGAATTGTCATGAAATTAAAATTTTTAGTTTAAATTTTCAGGATAAAAAAATATTGGCTAATCACTAAATAGCAATCCTAAAAATGATTGTTTATGTACTTTCCCCCTATTCTGTTTTGCCGACTCTAAAGGGTTGTTTGGTTCAAAAGTATAGATTATGATAATATAGGAATTAATAATACAAGGATTAGTAATCCAAAAATTATTTCTTTGTTTGGTGTTTGGATCACTGCACTAAAATTGGATATATAAGATATCATTTAAAATATTTATTTATGTTTTAAATTAAAAAATAACGACTTTAAATTATAGCCTTCAATGCTTGACCTTCGTAGGCTTCTAGAAAAAAGACCAGGATGATTTTATCCTTTTGGATACTTTACCCTATATAAGTGGTATAAAATAATACCTAAATTGGCAAAACTGTAAACAATACGCAGGATATATATAAAACCAAAATTGAATAACTATTTCAACTTCTTTATACCGAGATTATTTCTTTCTATACATCAAGCCAAACATGTTCTCAATAAATTAAATGAGAGTATGTCGTCCTGGGTGGTTTGCACAAATAGCTACTTTTTTAGCATGATTTTAGAAATGGCTAATTTGTCAAAATTAGATTTTTTAATGCGACTTCCTTATCCGAAATTTAAAATTAAAAACTAGTATTCAGACCACAAGTCTAACTTTGAAAGTGGTGGATATTTGGTGTACAGGTCGAGTCACGAGATTTAAAGTGCAAATAATCGGCGTCATGAATCAAGAAATTCGAGCGATATACATACGAAGACGTTGGTTTATCAGTGCCTTAGAGGAAATTATTTGTGTTAGTGTAATAAAAGAAATTCAATATTTTTACAGTAGCAGTAGCGTGGTGGATTAAACTTTGATTAATCCTTCAATCATCACTTAGCATCTTTCACTATCAGACTATATGTGGATGGATGAAATTCTTCGTGTGAATTGTTTACCAAAAAGATATATACACATTAAAGCCTCGAGTGATTGGTATGTAGTGTGGTCCAAGTGTTGTTCAGAACAAGTACTTTAAAGTTTAAACTTGAAAGGAAGATTCCTACCTCCTCGACATAAGGAAGGTTCCTACCACACTACATAATACATATTATGCATATATGTAATAATATATATCACATTATATCTATGTGATTTATGGGAAAATTACGCGACACAACAACTATTTACATTGTATTTCGTAGCTATACTTTCAATAAATTTACCATACGTAGCTATATTTGAATTTTATAACAAATCCATGAAATAAGAGATTAATTCTTTTGAACCGAAACAAAAAAGAAACAAGATCTTATAGCTTAGTTAGTTAGAGTGCTTGCTTAGCTAGTGAAGGTTTTGTGTTTGAATCTCAACAAGAACATTATTTTTCTGTATTTCTGTATTTCGCCTTAGTTGTATTCGTTGCGCGAACAAATGCAGTCGATACATGTCGTTTCTTTTGTATATGATACAAGTTGTATCATATATGATACATATGATACACCCTTGTCTTTCGCCTTGGTTACAGTTGATACATATTGTATTTCTTGCACAAATGAATACAATTGCGAGAACGAATACAGTTTATACAGGTTTTATTCGTTGCACAAATGAATACAGTTGACACTAGGGGTGCTTATCGGGCGGATCAGGCGGATAATTACGCTTAACGGTTTGGCTTATCGGTTATTGGATTATAAATATCCTAAGCCACTAGCCATCCAATAAGACAACAGGCGGATTAGTATCTGATTAATAATTATCGGGTGGTTATTGGGCGGTTTATCGGCTAAACCAAATAGAATTTTTTTGAACAATCAATACTAAACGGCCAAATGCATAGCTCAAACTGTCTCTGTTAGTTGTTGTAGCTTTTCCTTATTAGAAGCCAAAGACGACTGCCAATGCCATTAGCTACAGACAGACGACAATTCTATTGAGAATTAGAAATTAGGAATTTAGCCATTTAGGTTTTAATAGTACTTTATATACATACGGGTAAAAGTATAAATATAAAAATTCTTAACGGGTTAACGGTTAACCCGATAAGAAAATTGAGTAATTCGCCCTAAAACCGTTAAGCCGTTTTATAAAATCTCAATTCGCTCACCATCCATTACCCCGATAATCCGATACCAATAAGCCAATAAGCCATCGGTTCGGTTCGGTTTTGAACAGCCCTAGTTGACACAGGATGTATACATTGCGTGAACAAATACAGTCGATACATGTTGTATGTTTTGTATATGATACAAGTTGTATCATATATGATACATATAATACACCCTTGTCTTTCGTCTTGGTTACAGTTGATACATATTGTATTCATTGCAGGAATGGATACAATTGCGCGAACGAATACAGTTTATACAGGTTGTATTCGTTGCGCGAATGAATATAATTGACACATGCTGTATTCGTTGCACGAATGGATACAAGTAATATAAGTTTGTAACAATTGAACAGTAGCTACGAATGGTGATTAGGTAAATTATAGTTGTTAGGCTCTAAACTATAGTGGTTTATGAAAAAACTCTTTTTTTTTTTAAGTGAAGAAGCAATTTTCATGCTAATTGATTTCTTGTGTACTCATAGTCCCACTAAAAAGAGGAAACAATTCAACCTTATCCTTACATAAGAAAAGAGAGAACAATGATGATTGTTAGCCACTTGGACTTCCAAATGGAAGTGGCAAATAGGCAAATGTCAAGTTCTACTATATATATATATATATATATATATATATATATATATATATAAATTGTGCCATTTATTAGAAAATTACAAATAAATTGATTAAATAATATTAATAAATATTGTCATAAAAATAATAATTAATATGCTGTCACATGTTAAAATTCACTGATGATATAAAATAACTTGATTTTCTTTTTTGGCACAGTGATAAATAATCTTTCGTAAGCTACATAAATTAAGTCGGCTAGGGAAAGAAACTTCATTTCCTTGAAGCAACTTCCTAGATAGACAAATCCTCTTAATGTTTGTGTACTTCGTTT